TTTGAGGCTGTTTTCGTTAGAGAGAAGAAGGTTAAGAGGTGACTTGACAGAGACAGACAAGATGATCAGAGGATTAGATAGGGTGGACAGTGGGAGCCTTTTTCCTCGGATGGTGATGGCGAGCACGAGGGGACATAGCTTTAAATTGAGGGGTGATAGATATAGGACAGATGTCAGAGGTAGGTTCTTTACTCAGAGAGTAGTAAGGGCGTGGAATGCCCTGCCTGCAAAAATAGTAGACTCGCCCACTTTAAGGGCATTTAAATGGTCATTGGATAAACATATGGATGATAATGGAATAGTTTAGGTTAGATGGGCTTCAGATTGGTTTCACAGGTCGGCGCAACATCGAGGGCCGAAGGGCCTGTACTGCGCTGTAATGTTCTATGTTCTATGTTAAATCGCCAGAACCATCGATTAGATGCTAGTTTGTTTTAAATACTCGTTTCAGCTTATTCATCAAAAAACCAATGTTGAAATAAAACAAATGAAACAATCTCAAATCTTTAAATCAAACATTCGACACAAAATACAGCACACGTTCAATAACTCCTTCAGTTCTAAACATACAACCGCCATTCTCTCTTCAGAGCCACCCAAAACCTCATATTGGGAGCGGAGACCCGAGCTGAGGAAAGAAAGCACATGCGGAGGGGGTAGAGTACTGCAGATAGTTATATCTGGTCGAAAACATCATGTCAAGAGACACTGAATCGCTTTGCGGCTACCGGGGTCATTATTTCCCGATTTCTAAATTTATTGATGTTCCTCCACTAGTGTCGGATCTTTCCAATGCAATTACAGGAAACTGCCGCATGGATACATTCCGTCCAGGCGGTTATAGCTCAGTAACACTAACTGATGGCAGGGTGAATATTGTGTTACCGGAAATTAAAGTTAACTCGGCAGTGGTGAGGGTCCAGTTTCTTTCACAGATACTGTGGGTGGCTCTTAAAAGAGCCTTTGGGTCGTCAGATGAAATAACAGTCTCTTCACTTTTTAGTGGCGCCCCCAGCGGCGGTTTTCTTGGGTAGCAGCACGGCCTGGATATTAGGCAGCACCCCGCCCTGAGCGATGGTCACCCCTCCCAGCAGCTTGTTGAGCTCCTCGTCGTTGCGCACGGCCAGCTGGAGGTGCCTGGGGATGATGCGAGTCTTCTTGTTGTCCCGGGCCGCGTTACCGGCCAGCTCGAGGATTTCAGCCGTCAGATACTCGAGCACCGCAGCCAGATAGACCGGCGCTCCGGCACCCACACGCTCAGCATAGTTACCCTTTCTCAGGAGCCTATGAACACGGCCCACCGGGAACTGCAGGCCAGCCCGGGACGACCGGGACTTCGCCTTGGAGCGAGCTTTCCCACCAACGCCCTTTCCTCTCCCAGACATGGCCACAATCTCACAAGCACTTTCACAGAGAATGATGCAATGCGCCCACATTCCGCCCTCTTATACCTTCGGGAGGAATGGGAGTGCGGCCATTGCTGATTGGTCATATTGTTCAGCACCACCTAATGTAGTTTCAATTCCCAACCAGGTATCTGCTTCACTCACCAATCCGGAGAAGGCCCGGGGAGGAGGCCGGAAAATACCGGCTCCAAATCATCAGCCGCTTTCTTTCATACTCGAAAAGCCCGCCACTATATACAAAAGAGGAATGCGTAAAGACGTACGAGTTAGTTTAGTTTTAGCTTGCAAATGTACGCTTTACACAATCTCTTTACCTCATTCAGTCCATTTAATTTCGGACCTTTAATGGAATTTTTTGAATTTTAAGTACAAGCGGAAATAAGATCAAAGCGCCAAAAGCCACACTTTGCAGCATTCTTTTTTTCAATTTATTTAAAAAGCCTATCGGTATATTGATAAAAACATCAGACATCGTTC